TTTGAAGTTACCTGACGTCCTTCTCCTGATTTCAAGACATGAGGATGAGGCTCTGCAGCGGGACACATCGGGACACTCAGCGGGACACTCAGAGCCAGCAAAGCTGCTGCAGGGACGAGTGCTGCCCTGCAAATGCTCTGCAAAATGAGCCCTTGCTCTCACTCGGTCTTTTCTTTCTGACCACTGTGCACATTGACAAAGTAAATTCCGTCCAAAGGAGCAGGATGAATTCAGGGTGCAAAAGCAACGGACCAAAGCAGGTCAGATAAACCCCTTCACTTGCAGCTTGTCTTCAAGAAATGGCTTAATATCCCCGTCCTTTCCTCCTTTTCAAGTGGCAACAAATRGCTTAATATTTAAGTCACAAGACTTAAATGTTTAAATGGCTTAGTATTTAAGTCAGAAAGACAAGCAGATGTAAAAAAATCACCTGCTCCAACTTCCAACTTTTGAAGTCCTGTCACTCATTAAAAAATAAACTAAAATAATAACAACAACAACAACAGCAACAACAACAACAACAACAATAATAATACCCTCAGCAATTTTACTGTCTTAAGTTAAATGTAGAAACTCACACTGTTTTACCAAAAAGTATTCTGGCCAAACACCAGATCAGCTATGGCTTATGAATAGTTTGGAGAGCATCCTCACTATTGTCTTACTAAAATATATATATATAAAAATATTAAAAAATCACTGTGATTGACAGCAAAGGAGTTACCCTAGTCAGTTCTAGATTAAGTGCCAGAACTCGACATGTGTTTCAAATTACACTTCAACACTGTACAACATAGAAATATGCAGAAATTTTCCACTTGAAATGAAGGTTAAAAATTAAATGCTAACAAAGCTGTAGCAGATCTGCAATCCAGCCTTCTCATCTTAATTCAAAATTCAAAATGACTGAGCTGTCCTACACTATAAAAAAAAGAAGGAATCAATTCAGCCGTTCATTATTAAAAGCATAGTTGGCTAAATCATGCTCATTTTATGTATGGAATTCCCACAGAATTCTGATGTTGCTTCAATATTTACCCTTAGCTCTTCCAGTGACATCTTGCTTTCATTTAACTTTTAATTTAACAGAGAAGATATATTACCTATCCTCGTTATTCTTCGCCGCAGAGCTTTTATTTTTGCACCATAGTTAAGAAAACTAAATAACCCAAGTACTTCTCTTAATACTGTGGTTATTCTTGAAAGCAAATGGACGGATCAAAGGCATATTTTGCCTCAAGAAAAAAATCATGGATGTTTCTAGGGAAAAAAAAGGAATTTTACCGTCAAAAAAAATTACAGATTTTTCTTGACAGTAAAATAAATTCCTTTTTTTTTTTTTTTTTTTTTTTTTTTAAATACATATATTCCCATGGATGTGCTCAAGACGGATCACTCCAGAGCCAGGCAGGCAAACACAGCTCTACTTCAAGCTCACCAGGTCTGACTCATTCCCAAGGCCTGCACAGTAGCTCTCTGTTAAGGCAAAGCACTGAAGTCGACAGCAAGCCAAATTTTTAAGGCATGCCAGTAAATTAAGGACCCTTTATACTGTGAGAACGACGTGAACGGTGCTGCAGTTGCACCGGATCCACTCTGGATTCCAGGAGCCTGCTTGCAAGCTTGGMAGCATGACATTTGCACCCGTTTATCCCAAATGTTAATCACATAGGCAGGTTTTCAATTTATAGCAGCTTGCAGAGGCAGCTTGTGTGTGGCTCCTGCACAAGTGTCAATACTGGCTGTGGGAATGCAGTGCAGTGGCTCCTGCCCGCCTGACACACTCCCACAAATCATCCCAGGAATGTCTTCACATTTCGCAGGACCTCAAACAAATGCCATTTTGAAACCCAGGGGTTTATTTTGCTTCTTTTAATCAAGATTACATAATAAACTTATATTTTTAAGTCAAGGGAATTATTCACAAGATAAAGGGAACTAATTTCCATCCCTATCCTGTTTTGCCTTTTCACTGCTTGGCATGACAGCTTGTTATAGTTTGCAGCATCAAAATCCTATCTATTCCAGACCTCTGGCCACAAAGACAAATCTAATATATTTAGCTAAACATTATCAAAAAAGAAGAGGAGAAAAAAATACCTTCTTTTAAAGCCTCTCATGGAAAGCCCATTGCTAGAACAACAGCAGCCAGTGCTTGAGCCTTACTGTTTCTGCTGCCTCCTCTCCTTGAAAGCTAAGGCAGATCTTTATTTGATATATTAGAGATATATGATATTTATGATATATGATATTTGATGTATCAGAGATGAGATATTTGATGGCTGCAGACAAATAYGAGCTGGTCTAACCCGCTGAACACAAAACCTGAGCACAGGTGCCCTTTGCCACCTAGGTCAAACCCTCAGCAGCCTGGCTGGAGCAGRGCCACATCCAGGAGACCATCAGCAAGAGAGGCCCCATTGCAGTGACCAGCAGAAGGGCAGTYGAGGGAAGCTCTATTGGTGGCTGAAAAAAGTCCCCTCTCCTGCCAGAAAGTTCAATTCCTAACCTGTTAGTACAGTACAAACTGTCCCCAGAAAGCCACGCAATTCCAGATTATTGCCCATATTGCATCACTGCAGGAAAATCTGCATTTAAAGGGGGAGAGGGGAGAACAAAAGCCTAAACATCCTACCAGTCGTTTATGTTGACAAATCTRTTTCTTCATTCATCCCAGGCTTCCAACACAATAGCAAAAGACACACCACATGGACAGCAATGCTTTTCTACAGCGAGCATGCAAAAGAAATAAATTTACAGCCCCATGAGAAACTGAAAACAAATTTCTGAAGACAGTTTGAACATAATTTTCTATTTTGCAAAGTATGTGGAATCCATAAGAACGGCAGTGGGAGGAGGATGCGGAATCAAGTCTATTGGCCTGTGTGTGATGTTTCTTGTAAAGCCTAATGAGCAAATAATACGAGGCAACTTAAAAAGCAATTTTCTTTTAATTAAAGRAGATGCCTAACAAATGCTCTAAGTGATCCCTTAAGGATTCCCCCTTTTTCTTGCTCTTTGCTAGAAGCCTTCTTGTCAAAGGCCTTTTGCATTGCAGCAGTTCAAGAAGAAAGAAATTCCTGCACTTAGGCCAAAACCTACAGTGAGTCTTGCAGAAGGTAAGAGGTCAACATCTGAATATCTTAAATTTGGGGATCAAAATCCCCAAATCCCATTCTATTGGGTGTCCTGAGGATAATAAATTCTATCTTTAAAAAATAAATAAGTAATTATACTACCAGAAGTAAATTCCGAGTTTGGAGGTTGGCAGCATCTTTGCAATCCTTCTAGCTCCAGAAACTGGGATGGTAACAGCTTGTACATATGAGAGAACAGTTCAGCACCAACAGGTAGCCACACTTTAGATTGCAGAAAATTAACAAGAACATGAAATTTTGCTAGACCTGGTGACTATTACACCATTGAAATGAGCAAAAGCCCTCTGATTTTTGAGCACTGAGGAAAACTCTTCTTTCTTATAGAAAAATGAGGAATGTGGGGAAAAAGGGGGGGAGGGAAAATCAAAAAAATAATCATTTCACTATTCATCTGTCTTTGCACCAATCCTACTAAACGTGATAAAATTAGCAGGAGGGGATAAAGTTGCACCCAGCTCTTCCGCCTCACCCAGGCAGCTGTATGCAGCTGCCTGGAAAAAGGGAAAAAACCCAAAGCAGGGACCAGAGGCCATTCGTTAGGCATTCATCACCGACAGGAAACGCGCAAGAGTTCGTGTAAACACAGAAACACAAATATATAAACGGAGAGTCTTTCATGGCTTAAGGCAAGCCCTGCCCCAGTGCCTGCTGCTCTCAGGGCTTCATCGTCCATCRCTGGGTCCTCGAACCGTGTCCCAGGTTTGTGTGTGAGAGGGACAGGGGCAGCTGGTCCACGCAGGGYGAAGGCTGAACCTGGGGCTGCCCAGGCTCAAGCGGCTAATTAGTSTTTCTATACTAATTAGTGTAATTAGTGAGAAGCTGCTAGCGGGTAACGAAAGTTACGGCTGTCAGAATGACATAAACCCAATAAAAACAGAGACAGGCTCAACTCTAGCTTTGAATTTCCAAAGYGCCACTGGGCTGATTATCTGCTGAAAAAGGAACCTTTATTCACCTCTCTGTCCTTTTCTGGATGAGATGTGATGAGATTCCCCTTTGGATTTCAGCAGCTCCTGACTCCGTATGCTCACTTTTGTCCAGGACTTTGCATCTCAATTTTTCGCTGTGGGTATAAAATTAACCACCCTTTCTAAATATATATATATATTTCTTTATAAAAAAAGTTTGTGCCTTGCCACCTGATTGTTCACCCTGCAACACATCTTTCCAGCCACCATAAGTGCGTGTGACCTGCAGAACTAACGCAGGAGCAGCTTGGTGACACGTCCTGCCCGAGGCCSTTTTCGGATGGCGCCGCAGCCTCTACCTGCTCTTGAGCAGACCTGTCCCCTTAGGGCTTCACAGCTCTGTCCCCCTGGCACAGCAGGCTCCCAAATTCGGGCCTGGCTGAGCACCAGGATGCAGCCCAGTCCTGCATTATCCCTATGGACCAAGCCAAACTCCGGGCTTCATTTCTCACAAATGCAGTTTGACTGCAGACAGCAGTCGGCAAGTAAAATCTACCCCTTTTCCATGGCAAAAGGCCCAACTTTAATATTTTTACTGGCTTACAGCTGGGTAAATTAAGCCCCAGATTTTTATTTATTTATTTTCTAATACCGTGCAACTGAAAATGAACAGCTACTTCACGACGACTGCCAAGGACAACCTCAAAAAACACTAATACAATCCAGTCCAGCTCTCAATAGATCCATAAAGGCCGGAGGACCAAAAAATTTCGCTTATCCACCCAAACAAAATGTTGGTTGGGCAGGAAGTCTGATATTTCATTAAGATTCTTTAAAAAAAAAAAAAGAAAAATGTGTGCTAGCAGAGCGAAGATGGTAACGGCTCCARATAAAATGCCATGAAATGGGAATTAAAACTCTCTGTGTTACTTACCCCAGCCTTCCCAGCATTTCCAGCTCTGGAACTTGTGGTCCATATGTCTCCACTTGCAGAGGTTGATACTCGTACAAAGCTTCCTCTAATTTCTGAATGGGAGCTAAGGAAATATGCTGACCCTGTTGAAAAGAAGAGCAAAAAGATTTCTGCACACTGGGAAAAGGTTTTTTGTTTTGAGTCTTTTAAACAGGTTGCAGGAAAAGSATTTACCCCATTAAGTTCAGTTGGACTGAGACCATCCCATGAAGAACATTATCTGCTATATCAACTGCTCCTTCATTATTTTATCTTTTTTTAACTGGATTTTACAGTTTGGAAGCAATGTTTCATTAGCTGTAATCCTTCAGACAGAGTAGGAAGGAAAAGGCAAGTTTTATTGAAGGAAGGTTTCCCGTCAGAGCAAGGCTGCTTCCAGTGTCACTAGTAAAATTATTATTAGGTAAAAGTTTTGTGTATCAGAAGTAATATCAAACAAATGTCTCTGAGCAAACCTATTACGTTCTGTAATCAATGATTTCCTGAAAACCCCAATTAGAAAGGGAAGTTGCTTCTCTTTCTCTCTGCAGGCTTTGCAAGCTACCATACATATAATGGCTCTCAAGATAGACCTTTACAGTGCAATACAATTAATTCATTCAGCAAATTCCCATTTGTTTCATAACAAAAGAACAGAGGAACCCCCCAGCATCAGATCTTAATTCCAGATGGTCCTTTTGCAAGCCCTGAAGACCACTGAGAAGCAGCTAGACTTTCCACCCCGCCGTCCCCAGGTCCATATCGCTCCAAGCTCTCACAAACTGGGAGACTCGGGGCTGCAAAGCAGGGGGCAGGAGGAGCTGAGATAGAGCCAGAGTTAACAGATGGTGCTGCGTGACATTCTACACTGATTTGTTGATCTTTCACACAGTTTCAATTTTCTACTGTATTCTACGGTGCTCACAAAAATTAGCAGCAGCAGCAAAAAGACACAGGGCACTCTGTGATCTTCCCCAAGCCAGCCTGGCTGCCCCCGAAAGAAATCCGGCTTCGCATCTGCAAGAGGCAGGAACTTTGCAAAGGGCTCGTATTGTTTTTGTGGACGTTTTGTCTGCTCCGTGGTGTAACCCTCCGTGGAAGCCTGGCTCCCACCAGCTACGGCTACGGAGCTCCGCTTCCCCGGGCCGCTCATGCAAGGAGCTGACCCCTCCAACGGGCACGAGGGTGGGTTAAAACTAACTAAAGATAAATAAGAATAGTAAAAAAAATACAGAGGATTTCTGGATAGGAAGCTGCTAATTAAGTTTGTGTCGTGCGGGCTGATGACCCTCCGGAATTAGCAGCATAGATGTTTTTGTTTAGAGTTGCAGCGGGCAGATAAGAAAATTCAAGACTTGAGTCCTTGAGAAGTGCTACCCCAGATGCAGACAAGTAGCTCCAAGAGGGACTTRTTTCTTTGGAAGTAAAAGCAGCTCAAGTTTTCTATATATTTCTGTTTTCTATATATTTCGATTTCTAGAAATGCATCAGGGTTAGGGGGGGTGATGAGAACTGATAAACTCTGGCTCTATTTGCACCCCTCAGGAGCTCCCAGGGGCTGCTGCTCCCACTGACAACAGCTGCAATATTAAAACCATGCAACCATACACATTAAAATAAGCAAACAAATTTTAAAAAGGTAGGAAAAGAAAGATTAAATAGGCAGGTTTATGCTGCTTTATGACATTTTAAGGTACAAATGCAAGATCTTGCTTGTGGTCAGCGAGTCGCGGGATGGGCGACGAGGCACATCCCATGGATAATCATTCCAGGGACTAAGGATCTCACCAGGAAGTTCCCCACTGGCAGCTTGTTTCTGGTYGAGCAAGCCCAGTTTCAGAGCACTGACTCCATCCCATGTCCTTCTCGGTTACATACCAGGCCACGGTGCAAGCGTTAAGAACTAGTAGAAGAGTTAAGAACTAGAATAYACCAGCTAAGAACTAGTATATACTGCAGCATGGCAAAATAATTGCAGTAGTTTATTCAGATTACATCGAGTTCACTACACTGAATACTGTGTAGATCACTGAGAAGAAACTAGGGCTGGAAACCAGGGAAAGTTTGGGACGAGTGGCACCTTTTCCCATTTTACTGCTGTTGGACTAAGGTGCATCTACAACAACTCTTATTGAAGTTAAAAGGCTCTATTTGACCGATATTACCTCAGTGAAAAGCCATTTGGGCAGCTGTATGTCACTTTTGCCTCTCTGTCCCAAATGCTCCCTAGTCTTTTCATAAAGGACTGGTATAAAAGGAAGCTGTGGTCCAGCTCCAGAGATACCACTGGAGAGGACAGCTCTTACCTCAGGCTTACACAGCACTTCTACACACACAGAAACAACATTTCACATCCCTGAGGTAAGACTGTTCCATTTCCCGTATTCCAGCAGCCAGCCTCACCTTTCTCCAGCTTTTGGAAAGGTTTCCTAGCGTGCCAAAGCCCAAAGGAAGGGAGCAGGGAGCCAGCACCTGCTCCTGCGTGGCCTTCTCCTGGCAAACCCAGGCACCGCCGCTGTGCTCACGGGTGAGGATTTCTCATTCCCCTCGGATGCYGTAATGTTTGTGTGAAAGACACTGACAGTATCCAAACGAAGAGGGAAAACGCTTCCAAGAACAGAGGCAGCAGCCCGGCCTGCCCGCTCTCCCAGCCGCCCCTATCTTCATGGCATCCCAGGTTTTAACCCCCCTCAATTTATCTTCAGCATCATCTCTTACGTTGGGGAACAGAGGGAAGCACAGGGTGCTGTTATCTGCAAGGAGGACATTTGCTTCTCCTCTCTACTATGTTTATATAAAAGCCTGCACAGCAGTAGCTTTGTGAGCAACTGCTTTTCCACTCGAGCCTGGTATTACTTAGACCAAAGACACACAGGACTCAGCGGTTGGGGGAAGCCTTTTATTAAAGGCTGTCTCACAAACGGAATGGGCAGCCCGATTTGCTCTTCACTGCCCAACGCCGCTGGAGACATCTCAAATATTCAGCCATTTTTTGGTTCTGACTGGGATGTGATATGGAAATAAGTAAAAAATATTTTTTTTTTAAGGGGGGGAGGGATTATTTATTGAAATTTAATTTTAAAACCGCCCTCGCAGTGACAAGGCGCTTATTTCACACAAGGCCCAATCGTACCTAACTATGTCCTTTCAGGAGAGGCTGTGGAGCCCCAAAACCAGCACCTTTTCCTYAGAGGTTGGCCAAGGGAATCTTGGCAAACGCCAGGGCTGCCTGTGTCCACCTGCCAGCATAGAGTGGGTGGCTCAGAGCACATTCTTCAGTCCAGAAATACGAGCTCGAGGTGCAGCCTTCATGCTCCTTCCCACCCTTCCTCTCCCCACTTCCCCCCCAGTCTCAAAAGCTCCATCATCTTCCCTCACCAGCAAAGGGCAACAGCAGCCGACTGGTCGGAAACCTCCTTCCCGCGGGTTGAGAAGGAAAGGAAAGCACRAGGACAAGCAAAAAGAGTAGGGAGGGGAAAGGGGAGGAACTGCAAGGCCACAAAAACACCCCCAGGCCAGAGACAGCAGCCAGAGACTGGGGTCATTAAAACTTGTCCAGACAACACGCGAGTCTGTGCTGGATGATGCCAATAAACTTTTCATTTTAACACATAACAGCAATAGTCATATTTATGTGCCAAGGCCTGCTAAATCAGTGGGCAAAAATGGGATTTTAGGCATAATGATTTTCACGGCCAGGCTGTAACGTGGCTCACTTGGGGTATGGGCAGCACCGGGCGCAGAGCAGAACTGAGGTGATTTGCAGCCCGGACACGGCTCTGCTCAAACCCACRCCGAGCAGCGCACGGAGAACGTGCAGCGCTGCGGAAAGGGCAGCCGAGACCCTCTCCGCTAACTGAGGCTGAGCTTAAACWCGTTCTTCTTACAAGTAAATGTGCAAAAATACTGCATATTCCTTGCATTTTGTGCTGCAGGAAATCTTAAATTATTTTAAGCGCACAGTGGAATTGAGACTTTGAAATCAAGGCTTTYATGTTAACAGGATTCTTAGAAACAATATTCATGCAAATATTTTGGACAAATTAGCTTAAATCAAAAGCTATTTTTCCAGTTTCCACCCTCACTATTTGTTATTGACAGACCCATGTCCACAGCGTTAATATGGATTTCTGATTATCCACTCTGCCTACAGTAACATCCAGGCCAAGGAGAAAGAACCTAATAGACTTGGAGGCCTCTGTTAATATTTTTTTAACCTTYAAACTCCCCATTTTCCACGGTGTTTTTAAATAAACAGGAAAAAGTCAACCTAAAAGGTATTATATCATTCCTTAGTCTACAAGTCCTATGTTGGTGACTTTTTTTTCCCCATAGAGACTCAAATACTTGATAGCAACAGCTCTTTTTATTTTCTGTTCTTTTAAAAAAACAACAGTAAATCTATTTTTTTTAAACCCAATTATCAAAACCACTAAGGGGATACCCCAGGAGCTGGRTAGAAAGAGCAAAATCTCACACAGAAAAAACATCAAAAATCAACGTGAGTCTTTCTACTGATCTTTCCAAGCTTTGAACCTCACCACGCACAGCAAGATCAAGAGGAAAGATTCAAGTATCCGCTTGTCTCTGGGAAACTCAGCTCTGTCACAACAATCTGCCTAGATTTAGGCTTCTTTTTTTCTTTTCTTGGAAACTCAATTTGCCTTCTGAACACCAAAACTGAGTGGAAAGACACGAGTTCTTCAAGGAGAGCAGAAATAAAGACGGGAATCGGAGCACTGGGGATGCTATTAACAGGGACGGCCACATAGATGTGATTTATGACGTGCAAACAGGTATTTGGGAAATCAACCGCATCGTTACGTGGGCTAAATCACATGCTCAGCTCTACTTCCCTCCAAAAGTTTCCTCTACAACATTTTGACATAAATGATTATGTGACCCGACTTACCTTCCAGCTCTTGCCAAAAGGGCCCGTTTCTGTAATTCTGCAGCAGAAATCCTACGCTTGCCCCATGTGCTGGAACATGACTCTCCTGGTTCGGCGCCAGGACCAGGACTTAGCGACTTCTCCCTTGGCGGCCCCGAGGCTCCCACTCGACTCGGGGCATCATCCTCGCGAGAAGGGCTGAGCCCTGCAGCC